GCTGCCGGCTCTGCAGCCGGGCCGCGGAAACGGGAAGAGCTGGGAGCCTGGGGTAGGGTTTCGGTGTAGCTGCGCGGCAGGCGCGGTGCCCGCTCCTTGAGGCGCAGGCCGTAGGCGCCCGCCTGCTCCGGGAGCACCCGCAGAAAGCCTTGCCTTTAGGGGAGCAGGCACACCAAGTGCCGGGTAATCAGAATGCCGCTAATCTTCTTCTTTTCTGTGCTCAGTCTGTAAAAGAAAAAGTACTTTTCTTCTTCAACAAGTGTTCATACTTGAGAATTTGGAGGAAACGACTCTATGGCATCCAAGAGGATCCTTTCAGATCACTTGGGTGCGAGAGGAGTTGCACCTCCGTGGGAGCAAGCGGGTACTCGGCCACTCCACCCGGGGTGGGTCTCAAGGCCTCAGCGTGATACAGTTTCTCTGATCTGCAGAATCTTCTGGTGTTAATGTTCACTGGGAGCGTGGGAGCTAAGCTGGAATGAAGGATAGACGAGGGGGATTGTTTGGCTGCTTAATTTTGTGGGAAGAAGCTGGGATTTTAAGAACAAAGCTGCAGATTCTCGTTCTTCCCCTTATTGACCATCATCTCTTTAAAACAAGGTCTCCTGGAACAGTAATACACCGGCTACTTCTAGCTGCAGCAATGCTCCGGATCAGGATCACCTGCAGAAATGCTGTAATGTGTGTCTACTGCTTATATAGCAGACTTGAAACGTCTTTTCTGGAGAACAGTCTCTTTCTAATGGACACTTGATTTCCAAAGTCACCTCTAGGTCTGTGGAGTGACTTTGCTACATGGACAAAGGAAGCTGGAGAGATACACTTGAATATCTTCCATGTACAGACCTGGGGATGCAGAGTATGTAATAATAATAACAACGTTGAGTCCAGTCGTGTTCTGACTTCAAAGAACATCTGCAAAATTACATCATATCTGTTTGTTGTTTTGTTTTTGTTGTTTTTTTCAAGTTTCTCTATGCCAGTGATGGGGTAAAGAAAAGTTTGTCATGGCATGCATTAAAATCCAAATATTTATTTTTCTTTCAGTTTGGAAACAATAACAACTACATGAACATGGCAGAGGCAAATAATGCATTTCTTGCTGCAAATGAGGTAGATGTTTTTCTTTTTTATCTATGCTCATATTCTGCTGTTTGTGGTGATAATTTAACAGACTTTGAATGGAGGAAGAGTGAAGTGCCGAATTTCTGTGTGTTTTATGGAGCACAAAATAAAGACTTTAATGAGAAAGAAAATAACCCGATAGCTCTCCATTACTAGTCAATTTAGCTGTCCATAAGGCTGTTACTTACATAGCATGTCAATAGAAACAAATCCGCTTTATGTATGAAAAAAATTATAAACAGAAGGGAACAAATAAACAGCACAGTAGGTCTACGCTTTGAAAGCAAGCCTAGTAATAGTCATTACTAGCTAGTGTGCTGGTTTCTGTTACAGATACAAACATTTTAATTTGGGTTCTTAATACTCTCGTAAGTTAGAAAACCAAAACCAACTTTGTTGCCTGAGGTGTATGTGATTCATGAAGGAAACCTCTGACCAGGACCAAGAGCAAACCCAGGGGCCGGGCTGGTGGGGGCTGGCTGGGCTGTGGAGGTGTGATGTAGTGATCACTGTCTCGGAGAGTGGCAACAGGAAGAAGGTATGGCACCTACGGGCTCCATAGATTTGTTGCGGTGGTGCCGCCTTACAGCCAGTTAATAGACTATCAGCGTGCTAATACTCACCCCAGCTCCAGACAGAGGCACCTTTTGCTCATCACCAAGAACCAACAGCTCTTACTCGAAAGGGAATGCTGGGAAGTGCAAGATCGCGATATGGAGAACAAGAACTAAGCATTTATCTAGGGCGCCTGCCATACATGATCTTCCCAACAGGAGGAAAGGTTAGAAAACTGGGCAGCCTTGATTTTACGTGTTGTCCGTGGTGATTCGGTCGCAGGTATTCTTACGCGCTTTTTAAAAAAGCGATCTCCGAGAAAATAAGCAGAAAGGTGTAACAATAAATATGAAGGTTAGAATTAAAAGTCGTATTTTATGAATCATTTATACAATGGTCACCATCTCTTTTTACACAGCGAGACTGCTTAGATAAGGGAATATTGTTTGGCACTAGCTCCAGTGTTATTTGTGATAATGAACACAAACCCCATCTGTAATGACAACATGATGTTTCTTTCTGTAGAATTTCTTTCCTACATTTGAATCAAACATTGATGAAAGCTCTGCTGCCAGCAGCTGTTCAGAGACAATTTAATTCCAGCTGTGATAATTCACCGTGTCAGACATTGGCTGTTATATGTTGATACAACAGTTCTCCAGATTTGCATTTTTATCAAAAGGAACAAATGTTTTGAACATTTCAGTACAGATGGCATTTAACCATGCACACAGTTGTGGGGGTTTTTTTGTCTTTTTTTAAATGTGTAAGATATAAATATTTGAAAAGTTAATAACTTTAAAAAATGTGATTGGTAAGATAAATCCCACAAATGTTATACCATCTTTTGGTCATAACAGCACCTTTCTGTAATCCCAAATTGCACACTATTCAGGCTCTTTTTACAGACTGAATAGCCCAGTGATTTGGATTTAAGACTACTTCACTGAGGGGGTTGCTTTCTTTTTAGATTACGTCTATTTTATCCTCAATTTTAGGTCCGTTACATGCTTTTTAAAAAAGGTATATATGTATTTGGACAAGTTGTATTGTGAGAACTAAATTCACGTTTAAAAAATATTACGGTATTAATCAATTTACTCTCCTATTTGTAGTAAGTGGTGAGTATTAAGATGAATGCTTCTTTTCTAAGTAAAAGATTGTCTTATTATCTGTGTTATATATTTGCACAGCTGTCCTAAGTTATTCTGTTAGATGGGGGAAAAGATACAGTTCTTATAATTACTACTATCGCATAAATGCGTCAAGTAAAGGGAGGTTCAAACGTGCCATAATAATACTGATTTCACTGAACCCTTTTGCTTGAGCAAGGAATAAAAATACAAATAAGTGTTAGCGTTCACATTAAAGCGTGAACCTAACTTTGCAATTACTGCATTACAATGTATTTAATTACAGTGTTTTTACATGAACATGAGCGTAGCTTTCTCGCTGTGATTTTGGGCCTGAGCACTGCTGAGTTAGAAGCCCATTTTGTTCCTGTAAATAATGCCTTGAGAGTGTAATCCTAGAGCACATTCAGGCTTAGAAGCCGCACGTTTGCTTTATGTTTTCTGTCTCAATGTCATGATTACTACGACCCATTTTAAAGCACCTTAAATATTTATTGAAATAATATTTCAAGTGTTAATTACAGTGGTAATGAAAACAGCCAAATGCCACATATCAAGAATGAGTGTTTATCCGTATTGTTAATGTGATATGTTAGATTTCATTAAGCAGTAATGGGGTAGCAAATGAGTCACAAATTACAGTTGCATCTGTTACTAGACCACATTAGTGCCAAAATAACTGCAAATGCAGCCATAGGGTTATGTTCATTAGCCAACCACTTCTCCTGGCCAAGCCACCCTTTGTGTCTGTGAACTAAGGGGTCCACAGGAAGAAAAATTCACACCTTTTGTAGATTAGCAGCGGGGAAATCAAACGTCTCCCTAACCCGGGCCCAGCTTTCACATCCAGAATTAAGTTACAGCCTCGCAGATCGAGCGCGATGGGTAGCGTCTCGGCAGACTCCGGCGGTACTGCAGGCTGCGGCAGTCTGGGACCTCATCATTTCTGGTGCGAGACCAATAATGACAGCTGACAGGTTCTATATGCAAGCAAAGGTTCTTCTTGTGTTTCAGTTTCCATCTTCTCTCAAGCGGTTATTAATTTATATCATCATTAACAGTTTGAAGGATGACAATTTGCAGCAGTTAATGAGATCTTTCACCGAACATATCATTTTTAAATTAACTGGCATTAAGTCACTCTTTCAAACAATGTAAATAATACATCAAACAATTCTCCGCGCCCCCCAACCCCAATCCCGAACTAATGCAAACAAACAAATCCCAGAGCAGCCTTGCATGTCCGGAACAAGACAAGAGTGCCTATTTCAGGATTGCCAACTGCCCGGTCTGATCAAGACAGGCCTGATTTGGGTACGTGTAAAATGGCCCGATTTCAAGCGCTGAATTTCCATTATTAAGTAGCAGTGGACCTGAAATAATATCTGAAAGTTCATTTAACTCACCAGAAATTTGCATAGGCATAGCTCATTTGTTTCCCAAATAAAAGTCAGCGCCGTCGAAGCCAGATGCAGACCCTACGTGAAGGAAGATTGCCTGTGACAGACGCGTGCGCGCGTAGGAGCACGCACGGCCCCTGAAGATGACTGGCTGTAAATGTTTTGCTCAAGGCATCTTAACAGGTGTTTGGTTCGTAACAAACTACCGTTCAGACAAAGCTGGCTCGCTCCAGCAGGCGCCGGGCGCTGCTGTAGTCACCCCCGCTCCTTTATACGTGTCTCTCCTCCAAATTACAACCCTTGTTTAAAAGGGTGCGTTGTACTTTGGGAGGGAAAAGAAAAGACAGACAGACCAGGGTTAGAATATTTCATGTTTACGAGTGGATAAAAAGGCAACAAAAGGTGTGGAATGGTCAGTGCTGAATTAACGTTGTGTGCGTGCTACAAAATCGTCCGCATTTTATGAAGCGTGAGAGTAATGTAAGCTGTTTGTGCTATTTTGCTAACATATCAATAAAGTGGCAATTTGTTATCCAGCCAAATCCAATGTAGCTGATACTCAGACTAACAACAAAGACAGATGTTGCTAATTAAGTACGCATTAAAAAACTGTTAATACTGATACTCCATTAAAGCCATATGATAATGAGACTTAAATCTTTAATCAGAATGATCCACAAACCCCTTCAGTATATGAAACTCAAAAATTTTGTTGCGTATCGAGTTCGCATTTGAGAACAAAACAAGGTTTGGACCGCAGCTCCGGAGGTGGGTGATGAGAGCAGTGCGCCCTAACGTGGTTTGTCTTGTCCTGTCCCTTTCTAGCAGACGTTCCATACGCCGAGCCTTGGGGACGAGGAGTTCGAAATCCCACCCATTACTCCCCCGCCCGAGTCGGACCCTGCACTGGGGATGGCAGATATACTGCTGCCCTTTCAGGGCCTTGGTGACCAGCTGCCCGCGCAAGGAAATGACTTTACACCTCAGTTCCCCCCCCAGAGCTTGGATCTTCCCTCTATTACAATATCGCGAAATCTCGTGGAGCAAGACGGCGTCATCCACAGCAATGGATTGCATATGGTAGGTCTGGTTCTTTGGGTGTTTCCGTTGCCTATTATTGTCTGTCAAAGCAGACTTTTTTGACTGTCAAATCTACAACGGAGATTTGTGTCATCTATCAGTTTTAATTGACCTCTCGGAAGAACTGTACGATTTCTTGGTACCGTAGCCTGACCAAGCATTTGCCAACGTTCTGTATCATGTGCAGGTGTATTCTGTATGAATGATGACACGTGTTGTCAGTGTTATGAAATGCTATTATTCAGTTCCCTAAGGCAGTTGGCAAATGGTTAAGGGTTTAATATTGGTGGATTCAGGAAGATAAACATGGTTGTTAATGTACGGTGCAATGCTATACTGGGTGTGAACAGATCTCTTGTGAAGAAGCAGTCAGGCTTTATAAACACAGAATTTTAATTCTGGGAGTGGATTTGGAATCCCATATCCATTGGCATCATGTGCATACCAAGTGCCGCTACAGATCAAAAACGTGTTATATAGTTGGCACTGGCATCAAGACTTGAAAGACCATTGTGTTGGCCAGGGTGAACTACAGCATTTAGAAGGAATTGCTTGTCTGTATTTCAAGTATGGGACCCACATTTGACAGCCATCAGGATATTTTGAAAATGCAGTATTGAGAGTAGCTCAGAAAGGGAGCCAGACACAGTATGCCAGCAGTAAAAAACCTATTTCCCTATATTGTGTATATTCCATGGGCTAACTCTTTATAAATGGGAATCGATTTCTTTTTTTTTTTAAACTCGTAATAGAAGTGATAGGGATATATTACCTTGACCATACTCAAAAATACAGGGCCATAAAAAGACTTTTTTCTGTCCAGTGCTCTTGTTGACTAGAAAGGCTGTGGCAGGTTGGGCCTGCCTGTTCCTGTTGTTTTCCTGTTCCTGGGCTGTTTCCGAGCCCTCCGGAATGGGGAGGGACGATCCGGGTGTGGGGAAAGGCTGAGTGACGGGGACTTGTAGGCTAATTCCAGTGATCATTCCTGTTAATTAGAACAACGAAAACCAAGGCTGTATGGGGACTTCTCCACCATCTACACACATCGTATGGTTGTGAGCTCAGTGGGAGGGTATACGAGGCAGTTTCTGCTTTCTTGTTGTATTTCCCTTTCAGCTTTGGGGGATCTCTCTGCTTGGGTTTCTCTGAGCTTTGCGCAGTAACGTTCACAGCCCCAGTGATGAGACACAGCTGCGAGTCCGTTTATCACACTTAGCATTTTAAACTCAACGGTTACGATCAGAATTAGTTTCTGTATTCCATACTGAAGACAGTGGATGTTTAGCTTGAACAGATATTTTACATCAACTGTATTTTTTTCTGATTAGCTGTTTTATATAGGATCTTTTGCTAAACTTGTTGTAGTAAAAATACAGATTTACTGCTGGACTGTGGTAAAGATCATCGTGTTGTCATGTTACGGTTTCATGCAAATCTTTCTTTCTTTTTTATTATTCTGGCAAGCAAAAATTAATTAAAGATTTACAAATCAACACACAGCAACTATTCCTCTGGAATTCTCCAGGCTGCTGCTTTGTTGCAAATTCTAATATTTCCTTTGAGGTCATGAAGAGCAGCTAGCACTAATACAGAATTAAGCACAAACTACTCACCACTGAGGAGGTACAGAATTCAGTAATTCCATAGAAGCAAAGCAGGGACTGCCTAAAACAGGCCTTGAAGGATGTGATGCTTCTGTTCAGATGCCATTTTGCATGGGATTTTGTATGCACTGGACACGTTGGCTGACTGCTGAAGAAAGATCAGATTAACGAAACCTGAGAGTCGGGAACGTTATGCCTGAAAACTAAAGTAATAGAGTGTGTGCACACTGAATCCAATGAAACTTGCTGAGAAATATGTAATAAATACCATGGGCTGGATCAGTCTTGTGTTGTGAGTATCCCCTCAATGTCATTAAGTGGTTTGTAGCCTGACAGTTTTGCCTTTTAATTTTGCATCCTTTCATTGAATGTGATTCTCCCGTGAGTAAGTGCTGTCACCTTAGCAGTTCCAACCAGAAGAGGCCTCTTGGTTAGGTATCTCTTCTCCCACCTCTTCCTCCACTGGATAAGAGCCTTTACGTCTTTTCCTTTTTTCCCTAGACTGTGCAACGTAGAAATTAAGGGCATAGTTTACATTGACTTCAGTGGTAAGAATTTGTTCCTATATACGTCAAAGAGAAGATCTAGAGATCTTATCCCAGTAGTCCAGTGGTATTTTCTAGGGTGACGGCTGCTTCAAAGCTCTGGGCTGGGAACTTACTTTAGTTTTGCTGCAGATAATTGATGAGGGATTGAGTGGTTTGATACGGAGGAGCCGCACAGGGAGGTTTGTGTGTCAGACACTTCCCCACAACTGCTTGATTTGTTTTATACTGTGAGATGGAGTCCTGCCATTGTATATTAGTCAGTTGTCTTTTTCTCTTCTGCTCATAAATGCTGGGTAGCTTCAGGAAGTTGAAAAACATTAACAGAGGGTTCTTGCATAGGTTTGCCCTGAATTCATAGAGCTCTCTTCAGTACTCAAATTTTCCAGCAGTTAATCTGTATTTCAAAAATAGAAAATGAAAACATTATATCATATTTTATGTGAAAAAGTGCACTTTATTAAACTGGTAAATATTTATTAATAATATTAGAATTAATCTTTAAATTAGACAGTTCATGAATTACCTTGCCTTGGAGCTATAAAAACTTTATTGCAGCAATAAAAAAAATGTAAAGGAGGCATTTTGACTATGAAATTTCATTTCATGGTCAATTGAATTTACTATATGTGAAAGAACTAAAGATGGGGTTGTAAAATAATTATGATGTTCGTATACGCTTACAGAACAATGTTCTTATCCAGCGATATTAGGATAGTCTTATTTAAAGTCTGTATTAATAGTGTATTGCTAATCAGTAAAGATTTTTTAGCTGAATACAAACTTAAATTATTATAATATGAACTGCATTGAGTTTATTGGTTATCTCGTGAAGCATTAGAGAGCTTTACTGTAAGCAATATTTAATTTAGATAAATGTAGTCCAACCCTGTTGAAAAGTCCGGCAGAAGAATTTCACCTTGAAGAAATGTCATGAGATTTTAAATCACAAATGTTGAAAAAATAAAATGGGCTTGGACAGAAGTATGATTAATACTGTGTGTCTTTGGCTTTTTTCTATGTACTACCTGACATGTTCACCTATAAACTTGAATGCAGAATCGCCAGAGGCATGGTTAAAAATAGGTTATGTCAAGGTTCTCCTGTGTCTCCCTTAGGGTGTGGAGTTGGATAGCTACCTCGTAATACTTCGGCAAGTATCTCACATATTTCCCAAAGGAAGACCAAAAAAACCCAAAACAACAAAAAACCTCCACTATCTTTTTAACATAGTCTTTGCCTATTTATTATATTGAAAAAATCATTCATGGTGCAAGAAAGATACTACTTCTCAGAATAGATGTGGCCTAGCAATAATTAAAAGATCGTATGGATGAGGTAACAATTGTTCACACTATTAAGAACAAAGTAGGGTTTTTCCTGGTATACAGGACCTGGATCCAGGCACGCTGA